CAACCCAACCCAACCTAACCCAACCCAACCCAACCCAACCAACCAACCAACCAATCCAACCCAACAAGTTAACCCAAACAACAACAACCAAGCCAACCCAAACAACAACCATCCCAACCCAACAACCAAACAACCAAACCAGCCCAATCCAACCCACCCAACCAACCAATCAACCAACTAACCCAACCCAACCCAACCCAACCCAACCCAACCCAAACCAACCAACCAACCAACCAACCCAACCCAACCCAACAAGTCAACCCAAACAACCAAACAAGCCAACCCAAACAACAACCAACCCAACCCAACCCAACCCAACCAACCAACCAACCAAACCAGCCCAATCCAACCCAACCAACCCAACCAACCCAACCAACCAACCAACCTAACCTAACCCAACCCAACCCAACCCAACCAATCAACCAGATTCATCTAATCTTTGGGTCAACTGACCTTTTTGGGTTCAGTCAGATTGTTGATGTGGAGGGTGTAAACCCCACTGAGGTTGAATCCGGATTGAAGGATGTCCATGCAGTCCTGGAAAAGCCGCTCTTCTTTTTTCAGAAGAACTGTTGAGGAAAAAAATAAGCTCTCTGCAGATTTTTGGATTGAAGGAGGGAAGCATCTGTTTTATTTAAACAAAAAGATGAGATGGGTGGGGGGAAGGTTTTGGAACTATTTTGAGATGGTCTATCAATTTAATAAATTAATAAATAAAACATTGGACGTTCCAGAAGGTACCTTTTCCTTGGGAGACTAAGGAGACCAAATTCTGGACCGATTCCAGGAGCTGCAGCTGCTGTTGCTGAAGGAGGCTGGCGTTACTGCTGGCGACATGAAGGGACTTCTCCAGAAGTCCAATGGTGTTGCTCTGGTGACTCACCAGCTGCTGGAGGTGGTCCTTCTCGGTCCGAATGTCCTCCAGCTCCTTCAAGTGCTTTGTTTCCATCTGCCGGACTCGGGTTTCTAAGATGCTGCACAGATGGGAAGATGGTCACTGTCAACTCGTAAAGCATTCCTGGCCTGCTCTCGAGTTGCCATAGGCAAGAGGGGGAAAAACTGGGCAGCTACAACCAGAAGCACATTCCATGCATACCTTCCTTCAAGGCTGTATCCCAGGCTACCGGGACCAGCCGGAGAGGTGTGATCTCTACAGCCTGAGAAAGAGCTCCATTGGAGAATGTGATTTATGGCCCATCCTGGGGGGGGGGGGGGGGGGGAAACAGGGTCGTAGGTGGACCATAAATTACGTGAGGCAGAGCTGACTCCATTTGGGTACGTGCAAGAAAAACCCAAAGGACACATATAGACTGGGTGAAACCAGGCTCAATAGCCATAACTGTGAGAGGGATCTTGGAGTCTTAGTGGACAACCAGCTAAATAGGAGCCAGTAGTGTGCAGCAGCAGCCAAAAAAGCCAATGCAATCCTAAGTTGCATTAACAGAAGGATACAATCGAGATCAAGGGAGGTACTAATACCCCTCTATAAAGCCTTAGTAAGACCACACCTAGAGTCCTGCATCCAGTTTTGGTCACCACATTATAAAAAAGATGTTGAGACTCTAGAAAATGTGCAGAGAAGAGCAACCAGGATGATGAGGGGACTGGAGACTTAAACATATGAAGAACAATTACAGGAACTGGGCATGGCTAGTCTAGTAAAGAGGACCATGATTGCAGTCTTCCAATATTTGAGGGGCTGCCCCAGAGAGGAGGAAGGGGGTCAAGCTATTCTCCAAAGCGCCTGTAGGCCAGACAAGGAATAATGGATGGAAACTGAACAAGGAGAGATTCAACCTGGAAATAAGGAGAAACTTTCTGATAGTGAGAACAATCAATCCATGGAACAAAAGTTGCCCTCGGAAGTTGTGGGAGCGCCATTACTTGAGACTTTCAAGAAGAGATTGGACTGCCATTTGTCAGAAATGGTGTAGGGTCTCCCGCTTGGACGGGGGGTTGGACTAGATGACCTTCCAATTCTGATTATCTATTATCTGACAT